GTTTCATGGTGATGTTTCATGGTGATGTTTCATGGTGATGTTTCATGGTGATGTTTCATGGTGATGTTTCATGGTGATGTTTCATGGTGACGGATTTGGGCAATTCAAGCTCTTTTTTTGATGATTTAAGTTGTTTTCTTTCTTTTTTTGATTATTTCTTTACATCTGTCACTATTGTCACTGTGAAAAATGAAACTCTAGGGGAAAAAAGATAAAACTTTTTTATAACCGATAATACACTTTTGCCGAAGGAGAAAAATTTGTGTGCAATGTAAATAAAAAAAGAAGAAAAAAAGTGAAGTTCGAATTTTCATAGAGACTCACGGTGACATGGTGACACTTGTCTCCGGTGTTCCAGAAACATAAAAAAAGGACTAAAATATAAAAAAACTGGTCAATTTCGTCACTATGAAATTTTTTGTTACCATGAAATCGATAGTGACAAATTTTTATGCATAAAGTTTGCACATAACCATTTTCTATCCGAAAGACAAATATCACTATGTATATTCTTTGATTCACTTTGCACCATCTTCTTCAGTTTTTTTCGTTGATAATGTGCTCTAGAATGACATTTCCCTACGTGTAAATTACATAACTTATACTCGGAGGCAGTTGGCCTACCACACTGCTCACAAGGATCACGTTGGCGTTTTTTCCAGTGGATAGCACAACCTTCTTGCCGATAACAAGACCTATTGCAAATCTTCTTATCGTTGGTGATATATTGGCAAAGATAAATTCCCACCATTAAATTGCATTACAAAGTGCGTATCGAATTCAAAATACCGACTGGTAATAAAATTGCTAGGTAATAATAACGAATAAATAATTTTTAATTTGAACATTTTTCTTAGGGTTATATAATAAAAGTTTCAAATACTCTTTCAGAAAACGGACACCCAAAACACCACTGAAACGCAAAACATTGTTGCTTCTGGGCTCGAGTTCGAAAATAATGCTTATGGCAGTAATTGACCACCGCGGACATAGAGCTGAAGAGGTGGCTGAATATTTATTCAAAATACGTGATGATTCTGTACATCCGAGAGAATTTCTTGGTACTTAGATTCTGAGAATGGGATAGAGTTTATATTTGCAGACCGTCAGGGACATTCATTACATGAATTTATTGATGGAGATGGCCCGCTCCACCCCTTTATCGATTTCGATTTGCCGCAAGAAACATTAAATGGAATCGACCTTAAACTTACACGTGAACAAGTATATGATATTATTTGCTATGCCTTTAAAAAAACGTGTTTGGAGATATATACGGAGTGGGATGAAAGTACTTTAACTAGTGCTGAAAGTAGTGATCCAAAAAAAATGTCTCTCCATATCTCAACTTTCGGAATGCGTCTAACAATGTTACCAAAGTTGCATCATTTACTGAACTTGTTCGTAAAAAACTCCCAATAAGTTTACAGAGTAAAAATATTGTCGATAATATTGCAAATAAGAGTTCATTTTCTCTACAGATACTCGGAACTCTGAAATTTATTAGAGAGACTGGCGAACATGTACGTATAAAAAAACCACTGTATCCAAAAAATAGAGATATCTTCGACTTTATGCTTCGTGCACCTAATGACAATTCCAGTTGTGGATAGCCCAATTTTGAATCTTCTAGTAGAGGAGACGTCAAAAAAATGTAAAAGCGATACTGGGACTATTTGGGGCTGAAGTAGAATACATAGAAAGATTACTCGGAGTGGTTAACATCGAAGGGTTTGATGTTTTATACCCAACCAACACCTGCATCTCAAAATATTTTCTCCTTGAACGTATATTCCCTTCCTACTGCCCATTATGTAAACGGGAACACGAAAATGACAATGCATATGTGGTTTGAAATAAAAAGACGTATCGCTATTATTGTCATCGCGCAGATCAAGACACCCAAGGATACAAAAAAACCTTCACCAAAACTTGTCATTAATGAAACAGCAGAAAAGCAAGAAAAAAAACTTCCAGCTCCAGAAAAAATAGAGCGACGTTTTGTAATTGATATGTGTATTTCCAAGCAAAGTTATACACGCAGTGCAGTATATGAAGCAATTCAAGCAACAGTTGCATGTGTGCAAACAACATCAAGACTTTGGCTACTTAAAATGGAAGATACGGATAACAGTCTTTTCTTTGATATGGCACCCAAAATAGATCTTGCGAAATACGAAATTAATATAATCGAACTTGGGGGAATTCAATCGAATTAAAATCATTAATACATCATGCAGTTACCAAAGGTTTGATTCTTTATCGTAATGTTGATTTCTTACCATACCCACCAAACACTCCATTACCTAATACCAAGTTCTTCAATCTCTTTCTAGGATTTAAAGCCCAACCAGCAAAAGAATTAATCCTGCTATTATGGATCCAATTTTATGGCATGCGAAAAATATAATCTCCGACGGAAATGAAGAGCTTAATAAATATTTCTGGCACTGGATGGGATATCTGATACGACAACCATCTAAAAAGCCTGGAACAATTCCGGTATTGCGTTCTTTACCAGGTTGCGGGGAAAATATCTTAATCGATTGTTCACAGCTAATATAACTTGTCATTCTTAGGCAATATAAACCATCACATTCTCGATCAATAGTAATAGCTCAATAGTTGAAATTTTCCGATGGCGTAACACAGATTATACATAATCAGGGATACAATACAACATTGTTCTACGTGATATGCAAAGAAGCGTATAAAAGAGATTTTCATTACCCTTTGTCTCTGACGAAAGCATGGAGGGTTCCCGATCTATTTCGCCAAGTGTGCTGGACCCGGTAACTATGGTTGATTCGGCGCTTCAATATGGAGAAGTATCACATGTTTGTGTAAGTAAAGATTTAGTATGCAACATTATGGGCGGACTACGACCATCGATGCCTGATTCCGCACCAGAGAAATACAAGAAACTTGCCGAGCGGTGTTGTGATGCTGATCCTGATAAGCGTCCACGTGCATATCCACTTTGCCTCGATCATATGAAAATGATCGGTAAAACCGTCACGTAAATAACAAACTTAGGGGGTTAGTTTATAGTAATCACAGTAACCAGAATTGTATTGTATTTGTGACGTGTATTATTATTATGTAATAAATTGTTAATGTGGGGTACATTGTGCGGGTAATCATAGTAATCATGGAGGTGGGTGTGGTACGTGCAATCTGTATTACGCAATCGATTTTTCAGACATGTGATTTTATTTTAGAAATTTGGTAGCACTTCGTACCTCATACATGAAAACTTTCATGACCTTCTAATTTATTCCGTGGCGTGGTAATAATACAAATGTTCATATTTATACCCATCAATTTTTAGCAGTCACACAATACGCAGGCCCATAGGGCGACTCTTCGAGTCATAAATACCGTAGTGCACTGACTAAACTACCCCCCTTAGGTTTTGAGCAGAAATTTTGTAAAAGACCCAGGTGTTTTACTTAGAGGTTTTTTTTTAAGTTGTAAAATAGCTGATCTTACTTTATTTATAAATATGCAACTTTATTATTTAAATTCATTTTATTATTAACGCTATAACATTTTAAATTTCATTCCAGTTATTATAATCTTGCCCATCCTCTTCCCCATCCTCTTCTGCTAATTCACTATCCATATTAATATAACTACCACCATTATTTTCTTTATCCTCATCAATCATAAGATTATGATCTACATATTGCATCCGATTAAAAACCCCCCCTCCTATTACTATCAAAGTACCCCCCTGATTAAACTACCCGGGTACTTTGCAAATTCAGGAGTAGATTTGTAAAAAACCCGGGGTAGTTTATTCAGTGCACGGTACATTAAACGACTGCGATCAATTTTTTAACCAATGATATTTACTTATTTCCTAATTTCACGTGCAGCCAATCAAATTCTTACCCTCCATAAATGCACGCTTTCCTCCATTCCCAAGGGCGTGCATTTATGGAGGGTTCACTGTATTAATATTAGGGATATTAATAGTCAACCCTTTTAGTAGCTTAGCTGAATTTATAATATAGGACCTTTTTTCAGTAGCTGCGTTGATACCGATACACACTTTATTTATTTAAGCTTTACTCTAGAATAGAATTTTAGGCTCTACGCCTCTCAATACACGTCATACTATCGATCAATCTTATAGGAATGTCTTTTAACATCATATACAATTCGCGCTTATTTGTGAGCCGTAAATTTCGTTTTCTCGTTCGCCTTGTAGTTCACCCCATAAATTCTCAATCGGGTTTAAATCAACTGTTAACTGTTAAACAGATCGATAAAGTCCCGTTTACAAGGTTTGTAGTTGTAATTTATGGCAAACTGCAAAGCATAATCAGTAAATAAGTCTTTAATTATGTCGTCAGTTTGCTTTGAATTATGATCTTTCTCGATGTCACAATATTAAAGTTACAAGAACAATTACATTTCTGATTTATTTGTGCATGACATTAGGATGTATTTATATTGCAATGCCTAGTTCATGATCCTTTGTTCAGTTCAACAACGTTCTTCTCTTGGAGTTTTTCGGACTCGTGAGGGGACACGGTTGGAACAGGAAATTGTGATTCGGCTTTTGTTAAATGGTCGAGCACTTCTGCATCCTCGGTCTATAATCCAAGACGAGATCACGTGTGTCGACTTAGCATCACGCAAGCATATCGTGGCATATACATATTACTTATCATTAGTCGCTTACCTGATCAAAGTTCAAATACCACATACCGATACCCATCAAAAAAGCAGGTTGCAGCGGACAGATTACATCATCGACCTCATTATTTATCTCATTAATTGTGTCTGGTGCACCAACTGGCACTGCAACAACGATCTTTTTTGGTTTCCTTGATTCGAAAAAACATAAATGCATACACTTCATTGTAAGGTTTTATAATACAATTTCAGTAGCAACTTACATTTCTTGAAGAGATTTGTATGCGGCCTTCATAGTTGCACCCGTTGCAATTCCGTCTAAAAAACAGAGTTTATAGAACCATAATGCAAGACAAGCAGCAAGCGAGCAATTACTGCAATCAAGATGCGTTCGTTACCATCGACAAGTATTACAATTTTCCCACTAACATTAACAGGAGGCTTTCCTCTTCGATACTTCAAATTCCTGCGTTGAAGCTCTTGTTTCTAATTTAGTACACACGTACAATTAAAGTCATATTGGTCATTAATAAACCGATTTTTCAACAATAAGACCTGCCTCCTTTGCTATAACTCTGCGAATTGACTCTTCAGAGATCTGGCTAATGACGTCCTTGTTGAATACTGTAGCAGTCTCTGAGATAGCACCCATAGCCAATTCTTCATGTCTATGTTTTCGATCGGGCAAGAAATTAGATGGTATTGTAAACAATGCAACCGTCGAAATCTTGCCTTACCCTTCGACGCCTATTTTTCGTACGAGGAATACGTCCAAAGATGTCTTCATCCTCTGAGATATTTGATAGGCCACAGGAACACCTCCTCTGAGTATAAATTTAGAAATCGATGTCAATTCTGTGGATACCGCTACTGTCGCTATTACGTAAATTACCTTGGAAGCGCAAGAACGATAATGTCATTGTTCTCGTTATTATATTTCTTTGCAATCGCGTCTGCTAATACATTGCCAGCATGTACTCGATCCTGTCAAAATTCACAGTCGCTTAATACGTTTCTGTTGGAGTGGAACAACTTTCAATTACCTTGTATACTTGTCTACCACGCATTTTGATCGTGAGAAAGAGAGAAAGAGAGTAACGAACAAATAATTATCCAGCTGATTATATAACATTTCTGAATTATGTCGTTGGCGGCGTTTGGGCGTTAGGGTTAGTTACATTACGCCACAACGGATCTGATTTCTTAATTATCCAATTCCGTATAGCGTTAATGCACTTTTCGACTTTCCTACCTCAATCTTAATATCCCAATTAAAAAGTGTGGAACGAGATATTTACTTGATGTGAATTTCAATGCTTATTCTTGCATGACATTATCACGTGAACATTTATTAATAGTAGGCGCGTTGATCCTTAAAGTATGTACAAGTTGGATTGCATTTTTTACAAATAACGTGATAACATCATCATGAAATTGTAACTGTCCAAGTAATTCTAACATGCCTGGGAGACCGTTGCAGCACACCCTGGCTCATGCCATAACAAACCATGATACCAGATAAATTAACACCTTTCTGTTCCATTCATGGTGCATTGCATTCAAAATAAAGGTGACGACTCCATTCTCAACCTAATTGTAAAGCTTTTACATTCATCAAGAAGAGATTACTGACTAACCGTGAAATAAATAGTGCATTTTAGATGGCTTTGGATCCGAGCATTCGACTCATTCAATCATCCGGATGTATAATTAATAGCAATAAAATAATTTTCAAACAAAATCACTCTTCTACAATAAAGGTCTATGCGTCTGGCTTCGAACTTTGACATATGATGTTACCGGTATATAAATTACGGCAAGACAAGGATCTTAAAACTTAACCTCGTTAAACGATGACACCATTCTAATGAATATGAAGCAGGCATTGCTCAAACAGAAGTTCTTTTTTAGAGAAAAATACTACTTATTATTTTGTACCTTCTCAATTAACAATTATGTTTATTTTATCCAATAATGCATAGATTTCAGTTAAAAGGATCACTTGTTGATGATGAAAATTAGTAAGTGAAACAGTGACACTCGGTAGTTTGACCCATGTGGCCTAGTTTGTTGCAACATGCCCCCCATATATTGTTGCATTTACTCTTACTGTATGTATGCTTGTATGTTCTATCGCGTGCTTATATATCTAATTAGTCCGGACACAAACGATCTTGTGTCTTCTGTAATCTGCTCTCTGACATTCGGCACTACAGTATTGTGCTCTCTTACATCGCGAGCATATCATTAGATCCACAGCTTCTTTTTCATGTTCGGACTGTCCTCGATATTGATAATCAACAAAAGTAGTCATGACATCAATATCGTCACATTCTCCTCGGTTTTTGTGACAGCTTGTATTATTGCAATATATTAATGGAAGCTTAACATCTGGTGGATGAGCAAAACGCGGCCAAAAGACCGTCCGTGAATGCTCTACTTTACCCGTAGACAATCCAGGAAGATATTGTAATAATTCAGGTTGTTCTCGTTGCCGAAACCAGATAATAGTAGACTGTGAATCCACAATTGAGAAGCAGACTACAAACGGTAGATCAAACCCACTTCTGAGTGCGTGCAATCTATCGCGAAAATCACGATACATCCATTTTATCTTCTCTCGCTCAACATCATCGTCGCTCAACTCTTTAAGGATCTTCTTTCGTTCTTTCTTCAAGTCAGCCAGATCAGCCTCTGGAATTATATACACTTCTTTATCTGGTTTACAAGGATAAGCGCTTGGCAACATGACCTGATACTTCAGAGTAGCTCGATCGATTACCACCCTCATCAATCTCATGGGCAAATTAACTGCTATGATCGAAAATATGCATTCCTTCTCGTAGCGATTACTCAAAATAGTTGTCATTGTTACAGTATGTTGCATTACTTTTGACAATACATTTGACGAGTCATCCAACTGTGGGATTATAATAACGTGAATTGTCTCTGGAAATCGAAATGACATATATCGTCCCGTATCGATCGTTCGCATCTGGCAATTTGCGTTCCAAAAGACCATATCTTGTAATTCACCACACGACATTGGTGGACTTGGAACCGAGAGAAAAGTTTCAGATGCCAAGAAGATGCCATTAGAATTCTCGTGAGCATGCTCGGCCCAAAATTGAAGTGCACGAATAGACACATTGAGCGTATTGAGTTCCTTAGTGTGTGTAACAAACAGAGCCCTTCTTTCTTGGGGAGTCATTTTTTCCGGTTCGATTGTCGTCTGGAAGGAATTTATAGTGATTTGTGGATAAAAGTAACGTGGGGTCTGGGTACGCGGCTCCTCCTTACATGGTTGGGTAGTTGTAGGTGGTTGAGCTGATGATTGATACCATATCAGTATTAATACGTAACAGGAAAGAAGCGTTTATAAGTCTACAGTTTTTTGTTACCTGACATCTTCGCCGTTGTCCGAGTCTCGAATTTTGATTTTTTTCGATCATAACGATAATCTCCCAAATTTAACTGATCTGCACTACAGATGGTGTCACAGAAACACTGTCCTTACCAAAAGTAATTTTGTATGATTGACAAGCTCGATCAACCAAATTTCATTGCTTCCCAGCAATAAAACTATCGTCAAATAGAGTCTTTCATTCATCTGACATGTTGCAGGTCTTTATTGATTGTAACGCGGGTACAAAATACTATGATCTCATATTTGAAAGCTCATCGTTAGCGAGCGTCTTAACATTTCGCTTAGCATATGACTTCTCGAAACAAAAGTGGGTTGTTTTTTGTACGTACAAATTTGATGAGAATGTCTGTGTCACTTTAACAAATTATCAAATAGGCCATTTTACTTAATATACAGCTCGATCTGAAATTGTTTTATGAAAAAAGAGTGGGAAAAAGAATAATTTAAAAGAACTAGAGTTTCTTCCGTATTTTTTTAGTTCCGATTTTCGTCCTGCTAATTCACTCAAGGTAACAGAGAGATTTTGATTGCGTACTCAAATCAGTGTTAAAAAGTTAACTTTCCTCGGCGCTGAGAAATTCTTCGATGGATCCTTCGCCACACTCTCCGCTAGATTCTTCTTTATCTCTATCATGGACTTCCTCAAACGTTACTTCTGCAAAACTCAAGGTTTCACCTTTGAATTTTGTAGGCAGTGTTGGCGAGCTGTTGCGCACGTGATTATACATTCCGGATGTAGTCTCGTCGGATGAACTTGCGTGATCTGATTCAGCACTTTTAGACGATTGAAGGTCCAGAAATGGCAAACTATTTGAACTTGCTGAATGCGGATATGAATCTCTGATAGTATTATATTTGAATAGCTCAGACTTGGTACCCTGGAAAGATCCCGACTTTATATTTTGAGTTGATCTTCTGACAAGTTTCTTGCTTTTAACCCAACAGTTAGCGTCTTCTTTCATAGTAGCACGGAGGTCTTTTTCAAGTATTTCATGGTAACAGAGAAGCTTGCTGAGTTCTAGGAAAGTTGCCTTGATACGATTGCTAATAGTGATAGTCGTTTGAGTTATACAATCACGAGTAGCAACTTTGTAAGGGATCATGATTGCAAGATTGTTTACAGAGCGAATATCTTGATGAAGTTGGGATGTATGTGTAATTATCTTGCCTTTGAGATCTTCCATCTTGGACTAGATAATAAGGACAGGTATGTTATAAAAATCGATGAGAGCACAGAAATTACATTATAATTAAAAAAGCATGTCTGATCGCAATACCTTCAACACCTCACTTCTGCCAAAAGTGTCACTCATCGTATCAGAAGTTCCATGTTCAAAATGGCTTCCATTTTGATAATCAAAGAACGGCTGTATATTATTCTTCCTTTCCCATTTTCTCTGCTTCCCTTTCTCCGGACTGCTGCTGCGGATATGTCTCATTTTGATGCCAGCCGTCTTGAAAGTTGCGGCGTAATTAATCTTTGTGATCCAGTCATTCATCTCTTGTTCTGATTCTGCCTGGAAAAGATATTGATAGCCCTTGGAACATACGAGACGGAAGGCGTTTGAGCGCTTGGTATAACTATTATCATATAACGCGACGGAGTCCGCTGTCATTAATATTACGTCTGGTTTCAGAACTGGACATTTAGCGGATCTCTGAATGTAGTAAGATTTAAACGTTAAACCAACACGGAAGATCCCATAGAAGCTGGCAAATTACTTCTCATCTTTGATTCCTATTGTCTTACCTCGGTATCCCTAAAGTCAGCCATTTTAGAATCAAACCGGACAACGTCTTTGAAAAACATTAGTTGGCTTCCGCTTAAGATAATACCAAACTGTTTCCACCTTCTGCCGAAACCAGTTGCTCTCTTTCCACCTTCAACCAAGTCGATCTTTCTGAACAGCCTCCCGGCTTTGGTTATGTTCAGCAGGAATGTTCCGGCTTCACCTTGAAGAGGGCGTATTACAGAAGCAGTAGGATTGAATGTTTCTTGACGAGCAGGAATACCCGTTATTCTAATCGTGCAAGCTGATGTAAACCCTTTGCGAAGGTAATCAATGTCTAGGTCCGGCAGTGTGCCTTTATATGAAAATGGGTTTTCTTTGGGGACGGTGTCTTTGATGCAAGGAGTGAACTCTGTCGCCACTTTCTATATACATAAATAATTAATAATACAAGCACATTCAGCACATGCATACCAAGACTGCGGTTGCAAAAATTCGAAACATATGAAACATTTACATTTTGAATGACATAATAAGGATTGTTTTTCGATCTCTCTACTCTCTTAGCTTTTGACTGTATCAGATCGGACGGTGAAGCGAACATCTGCGTTCCATCTACATCAGTATCGTCATCGGCATAAATAAACTGTGTAAATGTAATATTATCATACAAAATATCTAATATTTCGGAAGGAACTCCATCGATTCTTGCATTTTTCTTGAATTCTTCTTTCGTCATTTTTCTTTTTACGCTTTCATTAAATGCATCCGTATGCAGCATGAGCAGAGAAAATGCAAGAAGGTATGCAGTATCTGTAGAGAAAGTTAGGAGGATGATAATTAAAAATCGATGGTTGGCGGACAGACATGTTTTTGTAATCGAAACACATTAACGCAAATTACCTTGAGAAGGAAACAGGGCCGGATTACATTCATGGTATTGCTTAGCAAACGCTTCCATCATTCTATCAATTTGTTGAGTTTCCTTAGGAAGACAACAATCCATGAGAAATTTCCTATACGTTACAAAGAGACAGGCTGAATGAATATCTATGTACGAGTGATCATAGAGCTTTGCAGTAGTCAATTTACCTCAATGCAAGATCAATCGGATCCCCGCAAAAATCAAATAAATCCATATATGTTCTCAGTACTGCTTCATGAAAGACATCCTCGCTGGTAACAACGAGACAATGTAATAAGAATCATCACTAGAAACAATAAATTAACACATTTTAATGTAACAGAGTTTACCTTTTCGCCAACAATGTAATCAATTCCGGTTTTGACAATGTATAACGCATTCTTTCTAAATACTGTATTGGCGTCTCAGTTAGATTTGATACCATAGTATGTCTTCTTTTATGTCTGAACTGATTCGATACGGATAAAGCATCTGGCTTAGTGCCGCTGACTTTGGTAGCGGAAAAGGAAGGCATCGATCCGGTGCGTTTAATGTTTGTTTTGTTAGAGATGTTTTCATCCCTACTGACTGACAAATGAGTTTTAGGCAGAACGTCGACGAGTGAAAGTCTATCATCTATCTTGAATTTGACCGATGGTGTCGACTCTATTGGATGCAACCTGTTATTATTGAGTTGTTCGGTTTCTATAACTGGACTGTTATTATCAATAAGTTCTATTCTATTTTCGTAAGTTGTATTTGTAGAAGTAGCACTACTGTCGTGGTCATTTTTAGTGTTTATTCCATCATAGAAGGTTTGCTTATATGTAGCGGTGTCCGGTAAAGGGAATTTTACATTAGTAATTTCGGTACCCCAATTAGGGTTTGCATTGTTTTTTGCTATCATCGTCGTGGTTGTTGTAATTGTGGTAGTCGTAGTAGTCGTAGTAGTAGTCATTATGGTTCCATCATTGTTGTTTTTCATGTTATTAGTTGATATTGTCTTGGTTGCTATCATGTTTAGCGGAACCGGGGAGTTATCGTCGTGTAGTTTTGTCATATTCAAGTGGTCTTCACTACGAAAATATAGCCGAGTTATATATCCTCTCGCTTATGGATATAGGCTATGTCGTAAAACGTCTCAATCAATTTGGTTCGAAATATAGTCCGTTATGGATAAATAGCCCTTGAGCTTCCGTAGTTGACACACTTTTCTCTGACAGTTAGTTGTGGGCGATAAAGAGTAATTTCTTTATTTATATCGGATATGGTCGGACTACTAGGATGAATTGGGCAGGAAAGAAGAACGACAGATTGGAGAAATTGCATAAACAGGATGTATGTTTGTTTGTTTACAAAACAGATACGATGTTACCTAATTCGGAATGCTTATGTTAGCAATGAAAAGTGGTTTCCTCAATCGGTTAATGTGATCAATGACAGCAAAGAATTCTAACTATGAAAAGCTAAACATAGATCAAAGTTACATTTAAAATGCTCATGCAGAAAGACAAAAAGGTAGTCGTCTCGAGCATAGCCACGCGGTCCTGTCGATCTTCCCATTGTTTCAACACACAATAAAAATACAGTGCAAAGTTGGCATAAACGAAGATTCTGATGACAGACAACATGAAGCTTTCTGGGAACTAACTCGGCCCCCCTAGATTAATAAGATTATTGGTTTGCAATTGGACATGAAAGAATTCAGGGTTCATTAATTTGCTAAAACGGCCAATTCCCCCTATTTCCATATTTGGTTTCATACCGATGATAACTGACGTATTAGTATTACTAATTCCTCCCGAGTACTGTATAGCGATAGAAGGTTTACGTATAGTCACGTGATTAAGACTATATTATTCTAAAGATGTTGATTTTTCTCTCTTTAAAGTTAACGACATTAACAATGAATTTTTAAAATTATTTCCAAAGTAAGCGCCAATTTTTATTGAGTTAATAAGTGTCTCTACCGAAGTAAGACTTTTTATTGAATTAACAGTGGATGATTTATAAACAACCAACTACTGTCTTTTACTATAGTAATAGTCCCTCTGCTTATAGTCACTATCTGCTTATAATCATTAATGGTTTGTGCCAAACCATTTCAAATTAAAATCACCTTGCCTATGGTCACAATCTCTAATAAATCTTCCTATAAGCTGTATATAGTTACATCTGATCACGCGTTTTATTTAGAATGATGCGCGCATCGAAATTTAAATAAAACGCCTTCTAAAGTTTAAACAAAATAAAATTGTCAATTGCAAGTGCATAACTGTTCGGCAAAAAATTGATGGATGCGTTCCTCAATGTTGACCGTTCAATAATTCCCAAAAAGAATACTTCTGGCGAAGCTGGTCAGCTAATGAAGGTGAAGAAAGAATCATGAGTCATTGGTGCAATTGTAGGAATTGATGATCTAACGATTATTAGTGTTACAATCCATATTAAAAGACAACTAAAAGGAACTAAACGGAGATGTGGCACCATCCCTTGAAATTCAAGAACCGCAAAGGACGTTAAGGATGGAATTTTGGACGGGCCTAAACAGATCCAAGGCCAAAAAAAGAACAATACATAGCCTATCAGCGGGAACGGAGTATTTAGTTGATAGCCTAGAGTTGGGAAGTTGGAGCGGCGTATCAGTCGAAAATAAGCACAAAAGTCGCAGTAAAAATGAGGAAACAGTTCGGACATTCTTGTCTGAATATAAACATCCAGAATATTGGAAGTTACAGGTCCAAAAGAAAGAATTCATTAAACTTATCGTAGAAAATGAGGGTCGTCCGAATGTAATTTACATTAAGGCTAGGGTGCTTGACGAACAATGTAAAGGCGTCATCATAGATACGTCTCGAGACGAATTGGTAGTATACCTTACTTTAAGACATCCACCCGAACTATACAAACAGCTAGAGCAAGTTAATGCATTACTCAGTCTGTTAAATATTGATATTGACACATGGTCGCGTTGTGGCGATTGGACAGGTGACCATAACGTCTTTGGTCAGTTCCTGGTATATCGACTGGTCCTTAGAGAAAATATTCAATCTGTTAAAAAAACTCTGACAGCGATCGATGAAAATCTACAGGACTGCCCGGTAAAGTACAAAAGCCCACATCCTTTGGATGAAACGATGGACGAGGTTATATATCCCCTCTTACCGTTCAAGATTAACTTCAAGCTTGAATGCTTACTTTCGCACAACGTATTGACAGTGCGCGAAGTGTTTGA